CGCGCGGCGCGGACACACACGGACACAAACACGCGCGCACACAAACACACACACACACACACACACACACACACACACACACTCACACACACACACACTCACACACACACATACATTTTCTCTCTGTCTAAACGGGGCGTGTTCAATTCCAGCTGTAAGTTAAAACCTCACAGACGACGGTGCTTGTTTGCCTGTATCAACTGTTGTGTGATTGTATCGTACAATGTGAGGGTGATCAAAGATGCAGTCGCCGACCCTGTAAAGACTTCTCTGTTGACACCTGTAAACTCTCTGGTTGACACCCACCCCTTGGCGCTCATATGACCGTATGCAGTTGCAAGCACCGTAAAACCCTCTACCTAAATTAAACTAGCAGTCGCCGACATGGATTCATGTACTTGAAGGGCTCACCACTGGCAATTTCTATTTCTGTCTTGTTTAATTTGTTTTCTGTCTGGAGTAAATTATGCCTGTTGTGGGTTTCTCTGCACTACTCTTATTCTTCCATCCTAGAAGGGTGAGTGTTCTCTTTTATCTTGAAATCAAGGACAAAAAACAAACAAAAAGTAACAGCAACAAAGCTTTTCTTTTGATCAGTCTGGTTGGGTTCGTCTTCTCTAGCTCAGCACTGTTAGAGATAGATGTTGAGTTGGAGGTTTTGTCTCTTTAAAAAATATATATATATAGATCGACACGTTGGTGGTTGGCGGGTGCTCTGGTGTGGTTTGCTCCTTCTTTCCTATCAAACAACTATCGTTTTTATCTCTCCTCCTTCTTTTTTATGTTTGTTACTCTCTTGTAACACCTCTAATCTTCGGCACTTATATGATCTTATTGTGTTGCAAGTGCCGTAAAACTATTACTAAAACTAAACATAGATCGACTCAAAGTTAGGTAATATAGATTGCGAGCTTCAGTCCTGCCTGTCAGGGCCGACCAGGGCCCATCAGAAAGACCCACCCAGATAGTCATTTTGAAGAAAATGTCCCCACACGGGAATCGAACTCAGGTCTTCTGCGTGTGATGTGTCTTTAAAACTGTACTGTCTAGGAAGAGGGCCTTAGCCCATGATGTATAATGTATTCTTCTAACTAGAGTAAACGTACCGATGTCCAGAACGAAGGGTGGGCGGGTGCTTTAGTGTGGTTTGCCCGGATTTCTTTCCCATCAGACATTTATCGTTATCTCTTCTCCTTTGTGTGTGTGTGTGTGTGTGTGTGTGTGTGTGTGTGTGTGTGTATGTGTGTGTGTGTGTGTTTGTGTGTATGTTTTACTCTCCTGTAACACCTCAAATTTTCGGCACTTATATGACCTAATTGTGTTGCAAGTGCCGTAAAACGCTTACTAAAACTTTGTTTGTTACTCTCTTGTAACACCTCAAATCTTCAGCACACATATAACCTAATTGTTTTGCAAGGGTCACAAAACTCTTACTAAAACGAAAAGAGTCACGTGACAAACTTGTGTCGTGGGTGGTTGGCGGGTGCTCTGGTGTGGTTTGCTTTTTCTTTCCTATGAAACATCTATCGTCCTAATTTCCCCTTCTTCTTTTTTATGTTTGTTACTCTCTTGTAACACCTCTAATCTTCTTGCTCTCATATGACCTTATGCAGTTGCGGGCGCCGTAAAACCTCTACTAAAATCGAAAAACTAAACTTGTGTCGTTTACCCCTCCCCGCAGGACCCCATGTCCCATCGCATCATCGAGAAACGTCGGCGAGACCGGATGAACAACTGCCTGGCCGACCTGAGCCGCCTTATTCCCAGCAGTTACCACAAGCAGGTACGTGCCTAGCAAGCAGGTTAATGTGTTGGAAGGTCCTTGGTGCCTCGTCCTCGGTGGGCGGCTGGAGGCTGCTCCGGGTAGTTTCGACGACCTGTACCCTCTATTTCTATTTTCTGGTGGTTTTTAAAAAAATAATTTGTTTTTGTTTTTTTCTTTTTTTCTTTCTTTTCTTTCTTTTCTTCTTTCGAAATGCTCACCAGTCTTAAACAGCCACTTTTCTCTTCGACTGGGGGTGGCTGTCTTAGAAAATTTAGAATGTAGTAATTCCAGTTGTTATATTTTTATAAAAGTGCTTTCGTATTAAGGTAAAGGTTATTTGTTTTTTTGTTTTTTTACCAGCTTTCCCCCCCCCCCCCCCCCCACACACACACAAACACACACAAAATGTTTTTAAAAATTAAAGAAATCCCTTATTGACTTTAACCAGCAGAACTAATCATTTCGTCATTTTAATAATTTTGTTTTCCCCAGGGTCAGGGTCGTATCGAGAAAACAGAGATCATCGAGATGGCGATCAAACACATCAATATGTTGCAGCAGCGTGTTGACGAGTCAGAGAAAAGTGAGTTGTTGGACCATAGAATTTGTCAAGTTGAACTGCAAAGTTATAATATGAATTAGTATGGTACTGGGTTTTTTTAGTGTGATTTATTGAATGTATATTCACTTCTGAAACTGCATGTCACTTTTTATAGTAGAAAGATACTTATTTGCAAAGTTATAGTCGGTTTTGTTCAATGAGCGGAGCTTCGAAATTGTTGAAACACAGCCCCAAACTGAAAGAATTCACAATTGAAAAACTATTTTCTCATCTATGTATAGAATACTAGTCATTCTTTGAACGTACTGGGTCATTTTCAGGGTTTATTTGGAAATCAGCTTTGGCATTCTTACAGTATACTCAGAGACAATGGGCTGAGAAAAACGTTGCCAGACTCCTTCCTAGAACAGAGTTCTAACAAAGGTAGAGGGTGGAATGACTTTGTTGGGGTGGCCATAGCTGCCATATTGCTTGATGTACTTGTGAAAGAAAATTTTTTTGTCAGTTTTGCGAGGAAGACTAAGATTGGAAATACATCTGCTGATATCGCCGGCAAGCTGAACAACTATTCTGTATTCTAAGTCCATGAAGCAAACTTTCATTCTTTTAAAAATTGTACCTACATTTATGTATCTTTTCTTCCTTTTTTCAACATTTTGAATTTGAATTGTGATCAAATATTTCTTGAGCACGTGCATCCGATACCATAGATTAAGAAATAACTGCTATTTTAAAAGATTTTCAAATTTTTGGGCTCAGTACATCTGAACAGCTGGCTGCCAATGTAATGGAAAAAAAAAGTAACCATGCTATGATATCTAGGGCAAAGGTGTCCTGCTGGTCTGGGAAGTGACTACGGTGTGTGAAATTTGCTTTATGTCATAGATCTTTGTGTGGGTCGTAGGGCGTGTGAAGTTGTATTTACACTAGAGACTTTGGTCTCTGAAGAGACGTAGAACATTCACAAAAACTAGGAGTAAGTGTATATTTTTTTTTTAATTTTCACAGGAGCTCAAGATGATAAGCCACCACCTCAGCCCCCACCCCCCAGCGACCAGCGCTGCTGTGCCACCAAGTTCTACATGGGATTTAAAGAAGCTCAGGTGAGAGAAGAAATCGGAGCCCTGTGTAGTCTGTCTCAGCGTCGATTCCCTGGTTCTCTCACATCTTTGGGAGGTTATTTTTTGCATCTTTCTCACGTTGCTGATCTTCATCCTCCCTCCCGTCCCATGGTCTTGTAGGAGGTTGGAGGGTGCTACTGACATGTACTTCTATCCCTCTGGTGTACTTTCTTGCATTTTCCCCATCATTTAATAAATCTTAATTATTGTAATCTGTGTAATTATAGCATCTCCATGCTTCTCTTTGAGGCCAAAAAAACCCCCCCAACTCTGTTGGTTTTCTATATATCTTGTATTTTTGTCACAAGTGCAATCCGTAGGGTGAAGGATGTGTCCCTTGTATGTGATGTGTCTTGTGTCCCCTGTATGTGGTGTGTCTTGTGTCCACTGTATGTGGTGTGTCTTGTGTCCACTTGGTGTGTCTTGTGTCCACTGTATGTGGTGTGTCTTGTGTCCCCAGGATGAGGTGATGAGGTTCCTGGTGGAGGTGGAGAGCGTCAGCGCTATGGACCCGTTCTGCAAGAAGATAATGAAACACCTGGAGAATGCCAGTAAAAAGTTTATCACAGAACGTAAGTACAGGGCATAGATCTTTACAATGGGTGAATGGGTCTCTTTTGTGTGTGTGTTTGAGGAGATCCCGTTTGAAAAAAAAAAAATTTTTAAATATTTTTTTCACTTTGTATTACCTGTGCTGGGAAACTACTCTTAAAACTCTAACCACGACTACAACTAATTCTCTAATCACGACTATAACTTAAACACTAACCACAACTACAACTAAAAAAAACTCTAACCACGAATATAACTAAAACTCTTAACTACTACTTCAACTCTTAACTACAACTAGAACTACAACCAAAACTATAACTACAACTACAACTGAACCTCTGACCACAACTACAACCAAAACTTCCTCTCTCCTCCAGACGTCCCACACCACAGTCGTCTGCGACCGGGTGAGCTGGACAAGCAGGAGCTGGACAATGACAACAGTGGTCAGCCCGCCTTCCTCCAGAGCTCGTCGGCCTTCTACGAGTCCTCCCCGGTAGTCGGGAGGGTCGGGCAGGAGGAGCAGGGGCTGGCGGTGGACAGCAAGCATCGCGACAAACATTTGAGGTCCTTGTTGGCCGACCAGCAGCACAGCGTGGTCTCCAGCCAGGGCAGCGGCAGCGTCTCAGAGACCGGCTCCAATGGTGGGTTTGGTGGGTCTGTCTGTGAGTGGTGGGTTTGGGGTGTATCTTGAGTGGTGGGTTTGTAGTGTCTTTTGAGTGGTGGGTTTGGTGTGTCTTTTGAGTGGTGGGTTTGGTGTGTCTGTCTGTGGATGGTGGGTTTGTTGTGTCTTTGTGTTTTGTCAGTGGTAGGTTTGATGTGTCTTTTAGTGGTGGATTTGGTGCGTCTTTGGTTTTTGTCTTTGAGAGATGAGTTTGATGTGTCTGTGAGTAGTGGGTTTGATGTGTCTTTTGAGTGGTGAGTTTGATGTGTCTTTGGCTTGTGGGTGGTGGGTTTGATGTGTCTTTTGAGTGGTGAGTTTGATGTGACTTTTGAGTGGTGAGTTTGATGTGTCTTTTGAGTGGTGAGTTTGACGTCTTTGGCTTGTGGGTGGTGGGTTTGATGTGTCTGTCTGTGGGTGGTAGGTTTGTTTTGTCTTTGTGTTTTGTCAGTGATAGGTTTGGTGTGTCTTTTAGTGGTGGATTTGGTGTGTCTTTGTGATGAATTTAAATAATGGGTTTGCATGTCTTTGAGATGGGCTCAAATGTTGGGGTTTTGGTTTATCTCTCAGATGGGCTCAATATTGTGTTTGTTGCGTCTTTTTAATTTGTCCCTTTATTAGTTTTTTGTTTTTCTGTTTTGGGTTTAAATATTTTTTAGTGTAGCAGCCAATCTACTGGATGGTCTATATTTTGTCAGCCTAGATTATGTCGGTGGAGGTGTGTAACATCCCATCAAAAATGTTTTGGATTACAATTTATTGACTTGACTGCATTTTGTAATGTGTTGCCTTCCTGCCCTTCTCCATCCCTTCCCCGCTTACCTCCTCCGTATCCCATCTCCATCTACCTAGGTCTGGTTCCCCTGTTCTCCTACTCAAGTCAGATGACCAGCATCGGGGGGTCCGCCGACCCCAGCGGCATGGGCAGCAGTGGATACGTCTCCGACTTGTCCAACACAGAGAAAACCTCACCCAACAGCTCCACCTCGTCTAGGTAGGTGCTGCAGGTTATAGCTACGCCAGGGACTTGGCTATTAATGGAGATTTTGATTGATCCTTGGACTGACCATTCAGTGTCATTTTTTTGGTCCTTCATTTTTTAAGATAGGGATACTTATAGATCCTTTCATGGATCCTGGAGAGGAGGGGGGAGCAGCTATGGCATTGTACCGCCTACTATGAAAAGTTTTCTCCAACCAAGTAAGTAAGAGATATAGTACAGTCGAACCAACTCAAATGGCCACCTGTCCAAGACCATCACCTGTACAAATGACCACTTCCCACTTGCCCCTTGCATAGGTTTTTAGAAATATTATAATGACACTGTCCAAGACATCCACTTGTCTAAGAAAATTAATTTTTCTCTTCGACAATGGGTGGCCATCTTAGACAATCTTGACGATATTATGAAATTAGTAGTAGTATGCATGTATTGTTATGCACAGTGTCTTCTGGAGATTTAGATGGTATGGGATTAGTCGATTTGCATACTTGGTTATTGTGAAGTATTTTAACAGTATTTCCTTTGAGATGAGTTAAGAGGTTGGTTGGAGTTGAAGGATGCCTTTTGTATGATGTGCTTCTTTGTACTCAAAAAAGAAAGCTACTCAAAAAGACTTAAGACAGTTGAATGTCGCATTTTTAGTTTGTTCACTCAAAAAAATGTGTTATTGTCCTGCAAAATTTAAAAGTTTAAATTTATTGTTTTAAGCATGGAAGCCAAAGCGGAGCACAATCTTAGGCATCACTTCACAAGTATGGATTTTAAAAATTTGAGGGAATCTGAGTAAATATGAAGTCGAGTTCATGTCCTTTTATTGTCAGTCCCTCTCTTCCTGAGGGCTATGTGTCATATCCAGTGCACAACTAATTTCAATATATGCAGCAGCTTTCACTTTTTTACTACCAGAGCATGATGTCCCATATGTTTAAGGCTGGCTTTGTGTGGTTTTGCAAGGGTTGTCTGATTTATCTGCAGTTGAACCTGCTCTAATGACCACCAGTCCAAGACAGTCATCAGTACAAATGATCCCTTATCACTTCCCTGCAAGAGTTTTTTTCTCTATATTCTAATGACCTTGTTCTAGAGGACCACCTGTCTAAGATGACCACTTTTCTCCTTGACAATGAAGGGTCATCTCGGACGACTTCAACTGTACTTATCTTTGACCTCCACTTACAAACCATATGTTTGTTGGTGCCACTAACTATTCAGAAACGCAGGTGATTGGCAGGGGCTGTGGTGTGGTTTGCTCCTTCTTTCCTATCAAACATTTATCGTCCTGATCTCTCCTCCTTCTTTTTTTGTGTTTTATACTCTCTTGTAACGCTTCTAATCTTTGGCACTGATATGGCCTTATTGTGTTGCAATGTAGTAAAACTCTTACTAAAACTAAACTATTCAGAAACCAAGGAGGGTAGTTCTGTACATCATTTAGATTTGTCAACAACTGTCGTTTCAAATCAGAATGTTCATCTTTTTTTAGTTTAGTTTTAGTAGAGGTTTTACGGTGCTCGCAACTGCATAAGGTCATATGAGCGCCAGAAGATTAGAGCTGTTACAAGAGAGTAACAAACATAAAGAAGAAGAAGGGGAGATAAGGACGATAGATGTTTGACAGGAAAGAAGAAGCAAACCACACCAGAGCACCCGCGAACCACCCACATGTTCATCTTTGACTGCTTCTGCTGAAGGACTCATCCACTCTTGTCTGTTTGTGCCTTCCAGGGACAACGTATACAAGTTCAAGCACAACATCACCAAACGCTTCTCCCAGGAAGGTCACCACATGCAGCAGCACCACCATCACCACCACCACCACCTGCACAACGGACAGCCCAGCGACACCAGCTCCAGCACCAGTAGTAGGGACCTGGAGGATGATCAGAGACAGCTCAAGTGGAAAGGTTGGTCGGGCTTTACAACTGAAAGAACAGCTCTTGTAGAGGGGGTCACCTTTTTCTTTCTTCCTTTCTTTCTTTTCTTTTTCTTTTTTTTAAAATTTATTTTATTTTATTTTATTCATTTATTTATTCTTTTTTTTTTAATTCTTGGGGTTTTTTTCTGGTTGAGGGGGGGGGGGGGGGGGGGGGCAAACAGATTAAACTCTATGTGGGGAATAATGGACAAAGTGGACATGTTTGGTAACATTTCCTTTTAGCTGCTATATGGGGAATATATTTTTTGATAATTTTTGGCTCACTAATTTTTTAACAGTTTTTTTGTTACAGTAGCTGGCAAGTGTCGTAGATTTGTCCATGGGATTTTGCATCTCATGAGGAGGCGTTGCCAATGTTGTTCAGCAGTATGTAAAATGTCCCATGTTAAAGAATGACCATTGTTAGGTTTTTCAAATCTTCATTTTGGTCTTGTTCTTTCCTTCATTCGTCACCGATGTACAATTATTGGTAGCTGCAGGTGGTTAGATTTCAGTCCTGTTTTTATTTTTAGAAATTTTGTTTCTTGTTAAAGAAATGAAGAACATAAAAGTTTCTTAGTCTCATGCTTCTTAATAGTCTATGGTGTCATGTTTTGTATTATTTCACTGCAACTATACCCACCAAAAAGACATTAAAACACACACACACACACACACCCACATGCTCACATTGGCACCCATGTGGACTGCAGCAGCTTTGTCTAAGTGTATTGGAATTGAGTCACAAGACATGAGCGAATGGTTGGAGGGCACCTCTGGTAGGTCCTACTTCTTTACTTTCCCCCTGTTGTTTCTGTCGGTCTATCTTACTTTTTCCCAACACTAAATGACCATTATTGTGTCGATGTGGTCTCTTTACTCAAGCACAAGACATTCAGCCTTCCGTTTATTGACACAGGATACCAGTCATTCTCTGCTCCATGTTCATTGTCCACATGGTCATGTGTTTCAGGCACCAAGCACAAGGCGCGGCACAGTGGCCTTGACAGTGCTGACACTCTGTACCGCGATGACGTCGAGGCCTCCAGCAACGGAAACAACTCGGTCAACTCGGACGAATTCAACTCAGCGTCGGTCTCCAGTGGTGATTGTAAGCGAAGAAGAAATTCTGGGAAGACATCTGCTCAGAGTCCGGGGCCCCCCACCCTCAACGGGGAGAGTCGGTCGAACACATCCTCATTCATCCTGCCTGGTTTCATCCTCCACCCCTCCGGGACTCACTACATGCCCATCTCTGTACAGAACACAAATATCTCTGGACTGCTGGATAATTCGCTGGACAATGAAGGGCCCCCAGTGTTCCACCCCATTAGCATTCCCGTTCACTTTCGCAGGCCAGTCATCTAAGTGAGATTTGGTGTGTAGAAAAAAAATAATAAAACAGGAATGTGAAACCCTTTTGAAGGGCTTTGTTGGATTGTTGTTTGTTGCTGTTGAAGAGACGACAAGATTTTTGTTGACTTCAGTTGAGGCTGAGAAGCATTGTGTGATAGAAGGACTCAAGGGAGAGAAGAAGTTAACGACATTGCGGGTGAAGACTGCCTGTTAAAGCGAATGACGCTCATACATGGGTCTTTTTCCCTTCCGCCTTCATACGGTTTTGATCCATATATAAACAGAAAAACTTTGTTTAGATGAAGATGCCGTCAATTTTCAAAGTGTGTTTATATTTTGCCATTGTTATTTAGTGTGGTGAAGTTTGTGCTTTATGGTGGCCAAGTTCTCTTGGAGTGAAATGTTCATGTTTGATTTTTGTATCACTGTGGTGGGCACACTGTATGATGCCTTTTCTTGTGACTGACTCATCATTTCTACTTCTTGAGGTATCAGAGTATGTTTTAGCCTGTCTTAAATTAGTTTTTATTTGAAGTTTGGTTCTCTCTGAGAAAATCTGGGTTGGTAAAACTTGCTGACTGCGCTCAATCATCTGTAATACATTAATAGTTTCCTAGTTTGAAAAGACAAAATTGTTGTAAGCTGTTTGGCTTTCAGAACTAGATTGTGTTTTGAGATATTTGGACCAAGGTTCTAATTTATGACCAGATTTGTTCATAAACTTAGTAAAGAAGCAGAAATTCGGAAATTGTTATTATGATCATGTCTTTTGGATGGAATGTTTACCATGTCTTTCTGTGCGGTGACTACCGAGGTGTTCTCTGTAGAGAGATGTTTTTGGATGTGTGATGGCTCGGCATGTGGTGACGAATCTGTCCAAGCAGCACTCAGCGTATGGTGAAGAGTGTGTTGAAGCACTGAGTGCAGATCAATTTTGGGATTGTGGAACAACAAGGGTCTAGCAGTTATCTGAGCCAGGCTGTTTGAAAAGGGGTGGAGGGAGGAATTGGTCCTTCTGTTCTGCGGAGTCTACAGTCCCAGAGAGACGTCGCCCTGTGTTTGACCGATGCTGTTTCTGATTTGAGGTGAAAAGGATTTCTACAGCTAGCAGAAAATGGACAGAGGAAGACTGACCAAACTATTTCTGTTTAGATGGACAGGGATGCATGACTGTTCCAGGAACAAGGTTTAGACATTGACCCAGATTGAATCGCAGAATTTGTTTGAGCCGCAGTTATTTAACCATCTGTCAGGGATGTAGGACATTTCTGTGTGGAAAACGAAGGCTATTGTGAGAATACTTTAGCTTTGATGGAGTATGTGTGTGAACTGACAGCCTTAAGGCCTGTAGAGAGTAGCAAGCAGTCTGTCACCACGTAATTTACAAGAGAAAAACGGTTGTTTAATGTCAAGATGATGACCCTGCTGTTGCCTGGAGAGATTGAAGGATGTCAGATGATCTTGGTTGCTTGCCCAGATGGGGAGGAGTTGATGTAACGAATGGCCTGCTGAGGCTGTTGGCAGTTACCGGCATCCTCTGGAGTTACGAATGGTGAGTTTCAAGTCTATGCTGGGTATTGCTTATCGAGATTAGGCTTGTAACATACTTGAGAAGAAGGGTGGGAAAGGGAAATTCTGCTCTTGATGCTGTGTTTCTTAAGACAAAACAGACCCCACTTTTTACAGTTTGAATAGGAATAGAGGAACATCCTAAGAGCATTTTACAAAATTGTCAGTCCTCATTGTCCTGTTTTGCAATTTTCTTTTAGTTGCACATTTGCTAATGAATCTTTGTTGCAGTGTAGGCTTCGTATGATGTTCCAGGATTGATGTATTTTATGGGCAAAGAAAAAAAACCCTACTTACTTTCACAAGAGTAGAAAAGAGTACCATTGATCTAGCTCATATTCAAACACTTTTCTTAATCACTGTACCCTTGACTTCACTTTATCATGAATCATTTGTCAGAGCATGCTTTTATGTTATTTTTTTCAGCACAGTTAGTAGTCAGCACTAACAGCTTCTCTGTCACCATGTAATTTTCTCATTGTCAACTGTCAGCTTGTAGCTGTGATGGAGTTATCTACCTCAATATTCCTCCTAGCTCTTTTTGTCTCATTATTTTTCTACATTGCCACATATTTAAACATTGTCTCTGTTATTGATAATGATTTGGGGGGGGGGTTGTTGTAAATGGGCAAAACAGAATGTTTTGTCAATGTATAGTTTGATCAAAGCAGATGATAGTGTTTTGTTTAAGAACATTTGAACTGCCTTGCTCCCTTTAAGGAGGTCAATGATAAACCAACCTTGTTGACATTCTACTGCATGGTGGGTTTGTGGGTGCCTAAAATGCCACCACAAAATAAGGATCCTGATATGAAATAGTGATCGGAGAAAGTCAGCTTGTCCAGATGCGCATTTATTTTTTAAAACTTTTGTGTTGTAGTTTTTAAAATGTACTTTTCAGCCCTTCTCATCACCTTGAGGTTGCTCTTTGGCGGTTTGTGTTGTGCGTTGTCATGTGCGTCTTGAGGTTTCACTCTGTGTCGTATATCACTTTTTCAGTCCCTGTGCACAGTTGTCTGCTCCGTGAGTCGAGAGCTCCTGGTTTTGGTGTAGAAATTTAAGTTCTTCTTAATTTGGAGTCTATTCTTTTGCGTTCTCCTTCTCACAGATTCAAACTATTTGCATGCTGCGGGTCAAGACCAGGTGTGCGGAGTTCCACCGGTTGCCAGAGCACAGGTCGGAGAGTTAATTAAGGGCGGCGGTGGAGAGGACAGCGTTCGGGTCCCCATCTTGTCGCCCCAGCGTCCGTGTGTTTAAATTAAGCTCATCACCCTGCACATCGGGGGAACAAGACAAGGACGGCGAGGTTTATCAGACGACGGCGGTGCCTGCGTCTGCTCTTCACAGACAGGTCTGGTCTTCAGTGTCCGTAAAAACTTTCTGCCCCATCAAAAAAAATGCTGACCCCCTTCCCCCTTCCCCTGCTCCAGTCCCCTTTCTGTGAAATGTGTGAACACTGAAACTCTTTGTCTTCAGAGTCACACTCTTTGTGTCGTGTGCGAGTGCTCCAATTACTTGGAATGAGAGAGGAGGGAGAGTTTGTTGAGTGTTTTGTTATGTTTTGTTTTGTTTTGTTTTGTTTTATACATCAGTTTTGGCGTGCTGTGATGTTTTACCTCTCTGACAAAACTTCTCCAGCTCAGTGGAAGATGGTCATCTGCTCACCTCTGCCATGTCTAGGTACAGAACAAGCTCTCACAACTTTGCTTTAGCTATTGAAACTCTCCACAGTGGAATACAACATTTTTCACTCCCGGCTCCACTCGTTTTGGTCAAGCGCACAAAATTCAGATCTTCTAATTTAATTGTTTGGAGATATGGAAATGAAATGATCTCAGCCAGAACCAACAATTTCCCCAATATTTTTATCTTTACACAATCTCATTGAGCTGGGTTTTTCTAGTTTGGAAACATAAATAAACGGAATGGTAACTTGACAGCAATCTGCAACCTCTGTGAAACAGAAACACATAGGTTAGGTGACTTTTCAACAAAAGACACCCATCTACGTCAATAATTTATTCTGAAAATATATCACCAAAAATTTTTTTGTGCAGACAATGTCATCTTGCAGTGTCTGTCCCAGTCAAGCTGAAACACACAAGTATGCTGGATCAGCCACGGTAGAACAGTTAGTTTTCGAAACCTGTTTCACTTTGGACGATTGCAGAATTGGTCAGAGAGCAGAAAGTGTTGGTGGTGTGGATGAGATCTAAAAAGTTTAAAGGCTAAATAGCCTGCTCGGAGAAATGAAGCATTGTTGACAAAGGAGAAGCAAAGAGAGCAGCAGAAATGGTAACATTCGGAGAGAACAAAATAGAGATAAATAGATCAGGGCTAGGAGAAGTTCCCCTTTTTGTGTCCAATGTGTGGTTGTTTTGGTGGAGGGGTGACCACCTTCCCTTGTATTGTTTGATAGACGTACAGAGAGGTGAGATACAAACGATTGAAAGAGAAAGGAAAGCCTTAACGCTGCCTGGTGCAGTGTGGCTCTTACATTGTGATCTCCCTCCTCCTCCCCCCTCCCCTCTACTATTCTTTGAACACCGTCAAAGATTTTCATACTCGTCAGTGTGGGGCAGAGTTTGAAGTTGTCGCGACAGCCTTGCTTCATTCTATGGGAAGGATACCTATTTGTTGTTTCTTGTGAGGAACGCTGAACAGTTAACCCCCCACTTGAAATCAGGAGAAGAGAGACTGTTTGAGGTGAAGGACTCTAGGACATTGAGGTTGTAGGAAGGACTCTGGGACTTTGAGTAGGCTGGCCTTGTGCTCAGGGTGTACTGTGCCATCGTCACCGAGTGAGACGTGTGCTGAAGCGTCCGGGATGTGTGTGTCACTGTAGCACACGTAGACAAACTCTCATGCGTCTCCTAGGAGTGAGAGAACTTGTTGCCTGTTGTCTAACACACAGAAATGACGACCCCTTCAATCCACTGAAGAACGTTGCCTGAGAACGTTTTGTGTGTTAGCTTGTACTTTTGATCTACTGACCCCGTTCTTTGCTAAGAAGGCTGTCGAAAGCCGTTGCTTACAAAGATGTAAGCATATATCATCACATGTTGTGTGTGTCTCATCATGTCGTTCTCTTGTCAGAAGTTGAGCACCTCATCAGGGTTAAGGTTTCTCCTGACTCTCCTGCTGATTGTCTCTACTACCCCCCTTTCCTTCCACTGGTGAACAGATTTCCTTTCAGGCATCTCCGAAATGGAGTGTAGAATTATTTTGGATCATTTTCTACTTTTTTGCGTCACTCCACCATCTCATGTCAATTGAAATATTGGAAAAAGATGTAATATAAATGAATAGACAAGTACTGCTTACTTGCGGTGAACTGCAAATTTTGCAGTGAGTTCAGTAGAAGCTTCTGACCCGCTGAGGTCCTCAAATTCTCGTCTCTGGTCTTGTCATGCTGAGCCTTTATAGACTCATCTCATGAGCCTCTCGAGTCCTATCGTCATGAGCTTACATTTATCCCACTGAGCAAAAGAACCTTTACGTTCTGAGTATGAAGGCTTTTAATTGAATACCTCTTAATTTTTTCTTTTGGCACATTTTGAGGTGTCATGCTACAATGCTGTCTGCTGCTTGTTTCATTAAGGAGCATCAACTCAACCAGTCATTCATCTTGCTATTTTGTTCTTGTATTTTCATTCATAAAACTTGTTTTGCCATACATGTATGTATGGACCTCCGCCGGGAGATTTTCATCTTGTGGGAGTCATTTTATGTGTAAAATCAACGCATGGTGCGTGATAATATGGGGGAGCCCAATAAAATGGGCCCAATCACTATCGTCTGTAAAATGTTTGATCCATTATTCAGTTGCTGAAGAGTTTTTGATAGACAATTAAGAAGCAGGTTCAGTTTCTACATTTGTAAGTTTTGCATTGCATCTCTTTGTAACTTTTTTCTTTAAGAGGAATGGTCAGAGTGAAATGAAATCATTTTTGAATCTTCTATTTTTGTCTCAAATCCCTGAATTGTTTTTCATCAGTCTACACATTCTTTTCTGATAGAAAGGAACGCTTTTCCTCTGTTTGTTTGCTCTCTTCCTCTTGTGAACACCCCCCCCCCCCTCAATTTTCTTAGACTTTCCTTCCCGAGCGGGTATCAACAGGTTACAATCCTGTGATTGTCCTAGCCTACAGTCTGCTTGCCTCTGCAGAGATCTTGGGCTTTCTTTAATACTTGTTGTCTTGGCGCTCATATGGCCTTATGCAGTTGCGAGCGCCGTAAAACCCTCTACTATAAAAATTATTTTTTAAAGTTGTTGTCTCTCGGGTATATCTTCCAGTTTGATCTTGCTTTAAAAAAAAAAAAAGAAGCAAAGTTTGTCCTAAGATGAGACATGTTAAACCATTTCCTGTCCCCGAGTTCTATTTTTCCTGGAACAATATTTTTGTACCTCTCCGTGTACATACCTCCTGGGTCCCCTCTGTCCAGTATCTGTAAGGGGGTAAAGGCTTCTGGGACACAGCATCAGATATCATTGTAGCTCATCTCCATACCTAGCGATTTGCTCAGTTCACCAAAGCTGTCAAAAATTGAAAGCGAAGTTCATGCCACATTACTCATTACACCTCTAAAAAAAATTCAATTGATCC